CTGTGAGTGGTCTCGTTGAAATTCAGCCTCTTGTCTCGCATCTCGGAAAACCTAAATTCAGTTCTCATTTCTCCAGGGACGGGGAAACTCAACACCGTCAATCTCCTCTTTCCTCTTCAGACAACAGCAGACACTTAAATGGAGACTGGTTAATTCCTCGTGTCTACATCTTAGAAACAGAAGTGACTTTGAATTATTGGGAAAGCAGAGAGACCCGAAATCTCCCAGACATCCTCTCCAGATCCTTGGCCTCGGAAAAGCCTGGGTCAGGTCATCCCTGATCCCTTCTGGTCCTGGAGCCTCATGTGCCGCGTAGGAGACTCAAAAAGCACTTTGAGATGGCCGGAGAGGAGGGATACTTCCCGGCAAACGGTCCCTACACTGGTCCCCTCCCCGTGCCACGGCATTTCTGTTGCTCATTAACATCACGGAGCTGTAAACAATGGCATGTGCTTGTATCTAAATTCTCCAGGATTGATTCAAAATTCATTGACAACGACATTACTAGAGACTTTTCAATTATATCAATAGGCTTTGGAGAAGGCCCTTACATTCTTAATAAACATTATATAGTCTTAAATGCTGTAGTCTTGTTCTTAAGGTTTTTATTTAATCAGCCATTATCGTTGGCTTCTGTGTTAACAAGTTCTTGCTGGAGGAACTAATTTCACCTGTCCTGTCGACAGCAAAAACCGCCTTCTTCAGTAAGACAATGTATTTTCTATTTATGCATCAGAAACGAGTAATAATAGGTTTCAAGGAACTGTAACATTTAATAAAAGCATTTTATTACATTTAAATTTATTAAAATTTAAACATTAAATTCAACATGTTAATTACTATTTCCACGCACTGACACTGACAGCCAGAAATGGATCCACACAACTGCTCTGCTGAGATATGTTCACTGGTGTCATTTGCTCTTTGATTACTAATGTATTATTAGTGCTCTTCATTTGGGACTTGATTCATTAACAAAAAGACTTATATGGGCATTATGTAAATTTTTGGCACGTCTTTTACATAGCTACCAGGGCATGTTTTATGAATCTAATTGAAAAGAGGAAAAAAAAAAAAACAAAAAAAGAAAGAAAATGTATTCAGTTCTGTCCTGACTTGTGGGCAAGCAAAAAAAGACAGAAAATTTATTCAGTTCTGTCCTGACTTGTGGGCAAGCTCTAGCTAGATGTACAGTCGCTCTCCGAAATCAAATGAGCGCAGAGAGGAAAAGCCTCTTCTCACTACATCACAGTCTGTGTTTCTGCAAATCCCTTTCCAGAGAAACCATGCACAAACCCCAGCCTGCTGCGCTTTGGCAGAAATAGCAAAATGGTGGCAAGGAACTAAGCTGGAACGTGCAGGCTCTCTCATATATCTCATCCGTGTGTCTGCTGTATACTGGTCGCCCCTTTTGGTTTTAATCACCGATTTCTCTTTAATGCTTTTGAAGTCGTGATTTGGTTTATTCTAATCCAGACGTTGTCAAGCAATATTTGTATTTCTCACGTTAAGTGAAACTCAGCTAAAATCAGAGAGGGCCCTTAATCTGCAAAAGCTCGTCATTATCGTTATGGCAGCAGTGCGAGGCGGGGGGGTTACGCAGAGGCTAGCGGGGGAAGGCTTTGTCCCAAGACACCCTACACGAGGACACCGACAATTTCTGCTTTATATAAAGAGTTTCCCATCTTTCCTGGACCAAGTGGCGTCCCCCCCATTTTCCGGCTTTAGATCAGAGGCTGCGGCAGACAATCTGCAGCGGGCACATACTGTGCATGGATCTATCGCTCAGGAAAACCGGCAAACCCCGCGACAGCCGTCTCCGATAGATGTAGTCAAGGGCCGGTGGTGGGTGAGAGGGGAGAGGCCAAGGGTGAGACAGACAGACGATCTGTAGCACCTGGGAAGAAAAAGCATGGAGCCGATAAGAGGTAAGTAGGGCAGAAAAAGCGACGGCAGAAATCTTTGGAAAGATCCCAATAGTGGCAGAGGCAGAAAGGTACGATTTTTAACTCCAGTTTCCCCCCCATGGCGTGACCCCAGTCTACTGCAGAGAGTGGGTCCTTCTGCGGAGGTAGCTTGAGGCTGGAGCCGCCCCTTTCGGAGCGCCGCCGGCGGCACCGCAGGGAAGGTGCCCTGCCAACCCTCACAGCCGTGCTGCTGGGCGCAGCCCGATGGTGCCCTGAGGCCTGGGGACACAGGGCGGCACCTTGGCCCCCGAGCCTTTCGCTGGAAGACAGCAACACAGGCTGTCTCTGGAGGCATGCGTTGTCAGTCCTTCGCCCCCTTTTTTTTCCCCTGCAAAGATATATTCTTTCTCACTTTCTTCCCTTTCTCTCATCCCTTTCTTCTCCTGCAGGTGAGCCCCCTGCGGCCAGATGCTCATCACAGTGAGGCGAATTCTGCACCTTCCGGGATACTGTTACGGCTCCAGAGGAAAGCAGGATGCTAAAAGCACACACGGTTTCCTCCCTAAATTAAAAAGTGTGTAAAGCTGTTAAGATTAGTGCACATCAATCCCTGCATTTGAATCAAGAGATACTTTCGTTTGGCAGCTATTGGGAAAAAAAACATAATTTCACTCAAAGTGTATTTAATAAGACAGAAGGAGACAGATTTCTTTGACAATTTTACAGCTCTTATCAGATTACATTAAAATTAAATTAAAACAATCTAGAAGAAGTGTTAAGTACTGAAGGGAGAACACAAACAAAACACTCCTCTTTGTAGGCTTTCAGGGATGGGGTACTGATGTTAGTTATCAGGGATCTGAGTAATAAGATTATTCTTGAGTCAATTATGAGCCCATCAGTGTCAGCGCGTCGCAGGCCTGGGGCTGCAGAGGGTGAGCGCGTGCCCTGCACCGAGACAAGGAGCAGGAGGGCAAGAGGCACAAAATGGGAAATACGCTGGGGGGACCAGGCTAAGGCTTCTCATTTCCTCCTTTTTTGTTTAATAAAACATCAGGGTGTTTAACCCTGTCTGCTTTTCTTTCTTCTACTTTGGCTTTCCTTCTACTTTTTTTCTTCTCCTCCGTACTGCCCGC